TTTGTTTTAGGAATATAGGTTAACCATTTTATAGAATAGCCTCCCTTTTGGGTTTGTTAAAACGTGACTTATAAAGATAATTTTCAGGAAAAGCAAAGTCACAACTTTATATAGAGAGTATAGAAATATAAATGAACATGTGTTTAAAGAATGTCTTAACCTATATAATATGAAGGAACCAGGCGGATGTTACAGTCATTTCAAAGGAGAAGTCGAAAGAGCACAAATGTGTACAGAGCCAAGGAATATGGAAATGAATTGCAAATGGGAACCAAAGTGATTTTCCACAGCAGGGAAGAAAGCAGTCAAGTCATCACCAGGCAGGGCAAAATATGTACATTATCAGTAACCTACAGCTGACAAAGAGGGTAAAATAGCTGAAAGAGAACCACAGGTTTGTAATCTGATAAGCCAGAAGGGTATGTTAGGCACACTGCATAGTTTTTCATTGAATCATGGCCCTTTTCTTATAATTTTTCATGATCAGATCTGTGCTAAATGTGTTTGTTTGGAATATCACAGAATGGATGTCTGTGTGTGTATGTGTGCACGTGCATACACATGTACATGTATTTCATTGCACCTTATCAACAACACGGGTAGTCTCTTTGTCACACTGTTTCTGTTAACTTTGATCACGTGATTAAGAGAGCATCTTCCAGATATCTTCATAGATAAATTGCAGTGAGAGGTTTAGAAACAATGTAAAAGTCTATTTTTGACCCAATTTCACTCACTAGTTTTGACATTGATATTTCTTGTCTGGGTTAATTATTACTGTGAGAATTTGTAAATAAGGGGTTTTCTAGTGCTGTCATTCCTTCTGTATTATGGATTTCCTTTCAGTGCTGGATAGAAGATTATTTCTTCCCAACTTACTGATTAATTTATGTATTTACTTCCAGTGGGGTATGGGAGTAAATGAGCAACATTTCCTGGAAGCCACTTTGGCATGAGTTTTTCCCACTCTGGCATGACTTTTTCCCACTCTTCATTTACTGAGGTCAAGTTGGAATTTTAGATTGCCGATGATGGAAGTAGTAACACCATGGAAATTTGAAAATTGTACAAATCAGATCTGTATACTTTTTTCACATAGATTTAGCCCTTAAACATTATAAACGTATACATCAATAGTATTATGTGTTCATTCATTCCTGTGTACTCAGTTGGCTGCAGTCAACCATTGTGTCCCACATCCAGTCATGGAAGCCCTTCTGTTCCAGCTCCCAGCATTTTTTAGTGCGTCTTTACTGTTTGTTTTTTGCTCATCCAGATCCTACATCACCCCAGTCTGGGTGCTTGCCACTTCTGGTGAGAGTTCTGATTTTTCTCTTAGTGGAGAGTAATATTTGGCCTCTGCAAGTTTCCTACCATAGGCTCAGGTGTGCCTCTCTGGTCACATTTCATTCACAAGTGACTCTTGGATGAAGGAAGGAAAATACAGTTGACCTTCAATCTCTGAGGCTTTGTCCATCTGATGACTCACTACCAGATTGAAAATAGTCAGTACAGGAGGGGGACTAAGTCAGCCCGGGCCAACGACCCACCAGTGTGCACAAGATCTGTCACTGGGAGGAAACCTGATAGAGGAGCTTGGGAAACTGCTTTGCCACGAAAAAACTAAGGTAAGGAGCAGCCCAGACCAGGCCAGGTTACAGTATCTGCCGGCATACCTGTGGGTCAGGTCTGGGGGCAGGCCAACTGGGCCAGTTCATGATAACCACTGGCAAAACTGAGAATCAGGATGGTTTGCAGGATGGGCTGGGTTGGACCACGGCACCCATCAGCACTCATATGACCCAAGACGGGGAGGTCACAGCCTCGTAGGGGAGATGTAGGGATTCCTCTGCTGAACCACTGCTTCTGCTGATGAGCATGAGGGCTGGAACTGGGGGCATTCCAGTCCCAGCAGGGCTACAACACCTGTTGACCTGCATGCGAACTGGGTAGAGCCAGGCTGGGATAACTGACTGTATCCACTGGTGCAGGCATGAGCCGGAGTAAGGGCAAGCAGTTTGGGCTTTGCCACAGCAGCATCTGGCAAGCACTGGAACTGGGGGCAACTCCTGTGAAGCTAGACTGCACAACCACCTGGAGAGTGCATTATCCAGGGTAAGGAGTGGGTCCAGTAGGAAAACTGTGGGCACTTCTTTGATGGGCACTAGCTCCCACTGGTAAACAAGAAACCAGGACTGGAGGCAGGTCTTACCAGACAGGTGGTGGCTCCTACTGACATGATTGAGAGCTGCAGGGTGGAGTCAGTCAGATTGAGTTAGGCTTCAGCACCCTTTGAAGTATATGAGAGCTGAATGGGATGTGAGAGAGACAGGACCAGTCCACTGCACAGGCTGGCAGGCACAGAAACCAGGGCTGAGGGTGGGCCCTGGGGGGTTGTTGAGGGTTGCTTTGACTGGGCCACAGCTCTTGATGGTACATGGAAGTCAAGTGTGTGGCGGGCAGGGCTGGGCCGGGCCGTGGCACCCACGGATTTGTGTAAGTAATGGGGCTGAAGATAGAGCTGACCTAGCAATTACAACTAACGGTGTGTGCATAGGTTTATGTGGGTGACAGAATGAGCTGGATCCCATACTGTTGGGAACACACAGAAGTCAGGTCTGGGATCACCTCAGATGAGATTTCTTTGAGGATTCCCCCCACTAAACTGTTGGAATCAGAACTCCAACCATGGAGAGTGGCAGAACCTACCTGCTCTCCAACAGTGGAGTGCATGTGTCTGAATGGGGCTACCTCTTAGTAAAGATGGTGCAGTGGACAGCATATCATACCGAGAAGCACATGGAAGATTAGGTAGTCCGTTGGAGCCTGTGGAGGACATATGGTACCATGGCATAGGAAGGAGGGCAGAACAAGTTGGTCAGCCACCCCAGAGAAGCATGACAGCAAATTTCTGGGTGAATGGAGACTCTGGGGTAGACTGTGTCAGTCAATGGATCTTAGAAGGATTTCCTCATCCTTGGATCTGTGTGATCAACAGCGTGTCAGAACTATTGAAACCACTTGAGCAGAACCCTCAGAACATGCTCCACATTGGGGGCCCTGGGATGATACCTGGTAGTTGCTCCCCACCTCTGGTTAATGAGGAAATTGGGAGGCTGGGTGTGGCTTCTACCCTTGATTCTCCTGTCCCTCCAGATCAGAAGATAAGGAAGGTGTGCAAATAGTGGTCTCACCCGCTCTCCCATAGTTCTCAACCTTTCCCACCCTAATCAATTGTGTAAACGTCATCAAAAATAAATTTTAAAAAAGAATGTAGTCTGGGGCCCGGCGCAATGGTGCAGTGGTTAAGGTCCTCGCCTTGCATGCCCGGGATCCCATATGGGTGCCGGTTCTAATCCCAGTGGCCCCGCTTCCCATCCAGCTCCCTGCTTGTGGCCCGGGAAAGCAGTTGAGGATGGCCCAAAGCCTTGGGACCCTGCACCCGCGTGGGACACCTAGAAGAGGCTCCGGGCTCCTGGCTTCGGATCAGCATAGCATTGGCCATTGCACTCACTTGGGGAGTGAATCATCGGATGGAAGATCTTCCTCTCTGTCTCTCCTCTCTGTGTATCTGCCTTTCCAATAAAAATAAAAAATAAATCTTTAAAAAAAAAAGAATGTAGTCAATGCATTAGTATCTGTACTAAACATGTACCAACCTTTTCTTGTCATTATTCTTGAAACAAAATGATAGGTGAACTATTGACAAGCAGTTTACATTATACTAGATATTATAAATAATCAAAAAATGATTTAAAGGAACTTTAAAAATTGGAGACTGTTTATGGGAAGATCTGCACAGGTTAAATGTAAATATAGTGCCATTTTATATAAGCAGTTTGAGCATTTTGGTATCCCCGGGGGTCATGGAACCAAACCCCATGTTTACTGAAGTCACATCTGTAATTAATATTTTTTAAAGAGAGGTAGGAAAATGATGAGGAAGGAGAAAGAATGAGGATGATCTCTTCGTGTACATTTTTGATTTCTTATTTTATGAAACATTAGATTTTAGTCTTTCTGTGGCCATCAGCATTCTAAAGTGGTTACTTTGTAAGTGGCTGAGCATCTGAAACCTACCATAAACCATTCATCAGCCCTGCACTGGGAGTCTGCTCTGGGTGTGGCTCACATGATACTAGTGACTCCCAGGGCAGAATCGTCACCCTTGAGGAATTGTGAAAATGAGTGAGTGACATGTCTTTGGGTTGTTGGCATGTAGACACATGTGCCACTCTGTCTTGTTGAGGAAGGAGGGTTGAAGGCCAGGTGGACTTCCCGGAGGAACCCAGGTGAGTTTGTACACAGGACAGAACAAGTTGGGCAATAAGCAGATAAGTATTTTATACAGAGGCAAGAGCATACATAAAGCCAAGAGATACCTGGTGGACTTGAGGCATTGGAAGTCGTTTAACCAGACTAGAATCGCTTGTTTACCTTCTAGAACCCAGTTTGGAAACAAGGTGCAATTGAGCTTGCTTGTCGCCTTGTCTCTCACTACATTCTTCTAGAGTTGCAGCCTTGGTGTCCAGCATGATTGCAGCGTCTTTCCTGTGCAGAATCTTTTTCTCAAGAACAGAAATAATAAGATCAGTGAGCATTTTACCAAAGAAAGACAATAAAATATTTCTTTCACTTGGATCTTTTTGTTGAGAACTTAGCCATTGTTAACCCTCGGGTTTCCCCCATCCAGCAAAGGAAGTTATTCCTGTTGCTTTACTTGTAAGTGGGTGTGAAAAGGTGGATGGAGGGCCTTGATCCTGATCATTGTACAAAATATGCTTAGGACAAATAGAAAGTAAATAAATCACTGTCATTGTCAGAGCACACTGACTTCTTACTGACAGTGTTGCTTTGAGAGAGATAAAATTGCTTTACTTCATGACAGGTCTATTTTTTTTAATGTGTTTGATCATGAATTTGATTCAGGATGAGGTTCTTTGTATAAAAATGTTTGCTTTCAGATAAGCCACTCAGATTGTTGTTTTTAAATTTTGCAGGCGATACCAGAAGTTACAGAAGATTATGAAGCCTTGGTAAGAATATATGATCAATTGATATTAATGATGTAACACTCCTTTCTTCTCTACATAGTTAACCCTGACCCTCTGACCGAATAACTATGCATCTAGATATGTTGAGTGGGTTTTTTTCCTTTCTGTTTGATCTTCTTATAACGAAGTTCCTTCAAACTTTTATTTCCTTTCCTTCTTTTTATAGTACAACGGGTGTTTTATGTTTGTAACCAGTAAATGATCACTTCAGGATTTCTACCCTTCTCATGGAGCGATGCTGGCATCATTTTATGTATTACTTTAAACAAAACTTTCTCTTTTGTGAATGTTGTGATGTTCAAAGTCAAAAGTCTTTGATTTTCTTCAGAGCTCAGAAAGACACATTCCATATTAAAAAAGAATCAACATCCAAATACGGAATAAAAATGATTTACTAGGAATCTGGGATGGTGCTCAGTGTACCTGTCTGTCCAGTGAATTACATGATAATTATGTTTGGAGATGTCAGAACTTCTGAGAGTTCTCCCTCCTGACCAGGATGAGCCCCCGTTTGGGCTCAGAAGTACTCTTACGCAGGCTAAACACATCTCAGTGGTGACAAGTTACTATGCGAAAATTTAAGTTTGAGAAGGAAGATGGAACAGAATATCAAAATGTGAATCATACTTTTTTTTTTAATTTTCAGGGAAAAATCTTCATCACCTTCAGAGTCCTGTAATACATTGTGACAGACTGGTCCCAAATCATTCTTTTTCCCTACGCTTCTCACGTAGAAAAAGTGGGGAATACGACTGAATTCTGGACCTTGACAATATTGTACTTAAATGTCTAGTATGCAATGAGGGATTCCCAGGATATAGGAATTCACCATAGTTAAGGCAAAAAAAAAAGCAGGTAGTAGCTACTGACTTGGAGATGATCTGACGTAGAAATAAGCAGATGAAGATCTAAGAACACCTTCCACAGTTAGGTTTGTAGAATATATTAAATGTAATGAAAGCACAGATGGGAAGTCTTTAATGGAAATGAAACTCATAAAATGAAGCAAATTGTAAATCATACAATGGGAAAATGCAGTAGTTAATATGAAGGGCTTAGCATTTTGCGTGTTGATGATTATGATTAATAGTGTATTGAGCCTGTGATTAAGTTGACTGAAATCATGTTTTAATAAAAATTAAGAAAAGGGGCTCAGCACGATAGCCTAGAGGCTAAAGTTCTCACCTTGAACGTGCTGGGATCTCATATAGGCTCCGGTTCTAATCCTGGCAGCCCCAGTTTCTCATCCAGCTCTCTGCTTGTGGCCTGAGAAAGCAGTCGAGGATGGCCCAAAACCTTGGGACTCTGCACCCACGTGGGAGACCTGGAGGAGGCTCCAGGCTCCTGGCTTTGGATAAGCACAGCTCCAGCTGTTGTGGCTAGTTGGGGAGTGAATCACTGGACGGAAGATCTTCCTTTCTGTCTCCTCTCTGTATATCTATATATCTGACTTTCCAATAAAAATAAAATAAATCTTTTTTAAAAATTAAAGAAAGAAAACAAGGAAGAAGGGAATTGAGGAGTGGGAAAGTATGGCTGTCTCAGAATTGTACCAGTGAAAAGCATGGGATCTGTTCTCCATACTAATAAAGATTTTTAAGGTGGAAGAATTATTGTAGATGATTGGCTGTGGCAGATGAAGTGCCATTAACCTAAAGATAGAACAGCATAAATTGGTCACACTGAAAATTAGAGTAAATGAGTAGCGCGTATTTGATCTGAGTGATAACAAGTTGATCTAATATTAATTTTTTGTGGGATCCCAGACAGAGAATGAAATAAATAGAACAGAAAAATATTTTAGGGACTAATGATGAAAGATTTATGAATTTATGAATCTGTCTGAGCTGTCTGTGAGTGCCAAGATAAATACGAAAAAAAAAAAGAAGAAAAGAAAAGAAAAAAAAGCTGTCTAGAAACAGAGTGGTCAAACATCTGAAATCCAAAGGCAGAATCCTTAAGGCAGCCAGAGAAAAGTAACCCATTAATTATGATAAAATTATCCCTTAGAAACAATAGAGACCAGTAGGTAGTAATACCTTAAAAGTGCTGGGGGGTAAAAAAAAAGAACTTACAACCCAGAACTTTATATGTAGTAAAAGTAGCTTTGGAAGCGAAGGTTGAGTAAACATGCTTTCAGATCAAGGGAAGCTAAGGTAATTCTTTGTCAGAACACATGCAGCATGGCACGTATGAAGCAAGTTATGTGGCTTGAAGTGACATGACACTAGGTGGAAATTTGTGGATCTATAGGATTGTATGAAAAATGCTAAAAGCTATAAATATGTGAATAGTTATAACAAATATAGTTTTCTTTACTATTTTTAAAAAGACATAGCTATAAAACTAAGATTAAGATGATTTTTATGGGTTCTATGGCAGTGTGGATGGAATATGTAGGATTAAAAGAGCACAAAGAATGGAGGAGTGAAACTACCCCATAAGCAAGCTCCTTATGTATCCTTTCCCCTTTAAGTAGGCTTTATGAAATGATTGGTGCACATTGTAATCCAAAGTCACAACTAAGGAATTAATAGAAGAATAAGTCTAAATCCAAATAAGGATTTAAGTTGACCCACTAAAACATAATTTATTAATCCAAAGGAAGATTTTATAAAAAAGGAGAAACAGTGTATAAAATATGCTTAGGACAAATAGAAAGTAAATAAAAAATGGATCGACTTAAATCCAATCATGTCAATATATTAAGTGCAAATGGACAACTTATTTCAGTTAAAAGTCTCATAAAAACACATGACTCACTTCTACTTTATGAGATGCAGGGTAAATGCAAGAGCACATGTAGTTTGAAAGTAAAATGATAAATATAAATAAATAAATATCAAGCAAATGATAATGACAGCAGAATTGAGACTGTAAGATAAGGAGGAATGATTAATAAGAATTACTAATTAATAATAAAGCGTGGTCAACTTAAGTATATGACTTTAAAATACATGAAACAAACATGGATAGCTGCAGAGAAAAAATTAGCAAAATTTCTTATCATGGCTGCAAATTATAACACTGTTTTTTCATAACTAAGACACATTGGCCAAGAGGAATAAAACTGACACTTCAAAGCTGTCTTAGGGTAAAATAGGAAATCTGAATACTGTTAAAGAGAACTGAATTCACAGAATCCTCCCAATGCAAAAACAATTGGGATTCTGTTCTATAGTTTTAGCAGAATTGCTGAATCCGTACACTTGCAATCGTTGTATGTGGCTAGGTTCCCTGTATTGCCAAACCCTGACAAAGACGGTGTGGGGAATAAAGTTCACGGGTCACATGGCCTAGGCACAGAGACAGAAAATCCCCTAACTCCATATTAACATATATAATCAAGCAATAAATAAAGCAGAATACATCTGGACTGATCAGGGTTTATCCATGAAATGGTATGATGTGTGAAAATCAGTATCGCTAAACATTTTAACAAAATAGAGAAAGAAAATGAATTGTCTTAATGATGAAAAAGCATTTCATGAAATTGAATGTTCATTTATAATAAAATTTCTTGCAAGTTAAGAATAGAGGGGAGGCTTTTCATCCTGATATAGGTCATCCACATAAAACTGTCATACTTAACATTGAAAGATTGAATTTTTCCTACTGTAAAGATGGAAGATAAGGCAAATGTGTTTGTTTTCTGTTACTTCTCACTATACTATGGAGTCCCTAGCTATTGCAGTAAGTCAAGAAGGACGTAGAAGGGATCATTTTAGAAAGAAAGCTCAATCTATGTCATTGAAGGCATGGCTCTCTGTGTAGAAAAAAAAGGAAGTCCTAATGAATCTACAAAGACATTGCCATGCTTAACTGAATTGAGCAGGTTTGGAGGGTACAGCATCAGTGTATAAAATGTGTTTTTATGAACATTAACTGCAAGTAACCGGAACCTGAAAATCTAATGCTTTTAATTATTAAGTGCCACAACTCATAAATGAGTTATGAATAAACCCAACAGGTGACATACTGTGTGCTGAAAACTAAGAATATTCCTAAGAGAAATTATAGACTAAAATTAGTGGAGGCATATTCGGCTTCATGGATTATAAGATACAACATTGTTAAGATAGCGATTCGTCCTAAATTAATTTGCATGTTTAATGACTTAGCAATCAAGCTTACAAAGAAAGAAGATAAACCCTACCGTTTAAATGGAAATATATAGGATCTAGAATAACCAACATGATCAAAAAACAGGTTTGAGGATTTTATTAAGACTTCCTTCAACACTTAAGGATTAAGTTAGTTATCAGAATAGTGTCATATTAGTATAAAGGAAGAGAGAAATTGATCATTGATGTAAATCTAACAAGATAGTTGTAAGCGAGTTGGCTGGCAGAGTTGATGCTACAGTTCTGAAAGCCGAGTGAAGTGTCTAAGTGGTGAGTTAGAAATCCTTAGCTTTCAATGAATGTGAATTGGGCCTCCCACAACCAACAAGAGCTAGCTGAAATGACAGGGTCGAGTCATCGCTTACAATGTGGCACTCAAGGATCTATTCCAGAGGATGTGTGATAACTTTAGAAGTGACCTTCACTCTCTCCTCCAGTTCTGAACTGAGCATCGCTCCCATGGAAATATCCTGAAGCAGTCTTGTTTTATACAATTAGCAGCATAAGTTTACATGCTGGTTTTGAGACTGGCTGGATTTTCTGGAATGAAGATGATCTTCACTTACTTGTTAAGAAACAGTTACATTGGATCATCCCAGCACACATGGTGTGTTGGCTGTGATGGTGGTCCTCGGCCAGAATGCAAAGTTTGCACTTGGCTACACTGCATTCTGTAGTGCAGAATCTTTAGTCTAACACTGTTAAAAATAAACAAATACACGAAACAAATGCCAGTGTTCCTGAATGTGCCATGTGTTGCTTTCTATCTAGAATTCTCTTAGCCTTGATACTCTGCCCAGCTGGATGATGTCGGAGGTGGGACCATGCTTTCTGCCTGCCCACGTTGGAACCTGAATCATATGGAATGCAAATCAACACCAGTGTCAGGGTTCCATAACAGCCTTTCTAAGCCGCCTCATTTGGAGGAGGCAGTGGAGTACTTTGAATTGCAATGTAATAAAACGTGGCATGCCAGCCCTACTCTTAGGTTGGATGTTGAATTTTTAAACAGTTGTCCCTTCTGGAAACCTATTATGCCATTCAACAGTCAAACATCTATGTGTGTGTGTAGAAAGCTTACAGCATGTAATCATGCACGTGTGTGCATTAAATACATTTGTTATGGCACAATAGACATTGTCACCATATAATAATGTGTTATAGGTCATGCTTTATAATTCTGTATGTCTATCACCCATGTGTGTATTACCCTTTCTGTTTGTGTATTTATCTATTTGTATCTGTCTGTCTAGACTGAAGAAATGAGCCATCCTTTTAGCATCAAAGCTGGTGTGTGATGTGAAAAACTGCTCTCTCTTTTCAGTCATCTCTACAGGATAACTGAGAATGCAAACAGCCTTGTGCACACTTTTTAAAAAAGATCTATTTACTTTTATTGAAAAAGAGGTTAACAGACAGGAGAGACAGAGGGAAAGATCTTCCATTGGCTGGCTTACTCCCCAGATGGCTGCAACAACCAGAGCTGAGCTAATCCAAAGTCAGGAGCCAGGACTTCTTCTGGGTCTCCCACTTGGGTGCAGGGTCCCCAGGTTTGTAAGCAGAGAGTTTAGGAAGTGGACTAGCTGGGACGCAAACCAGTGCCCATGCCTGTACTGGATCCCAACATTTGCAAAGAGGAGGATTAGCCAGTTGAGCCATTGTATCTCCCTCCAACCCTTTTTACAGGTGAAACCCTGACCTTCAGACCAGTTGAAAGAGTTGGAACCTCATGGCACTCTTTCTTGTGTGATTTTTTTTTCCACCTTCTTTTCTGCCCAAGGCCCTTGCAGACTGTCTCAGGAGTCTGTACAGCGTGTTCTGGAGCGTTCCAGGGGAGATTGATTATCCCCAGCTGTTATTAGAGGCATTGGGATTAGGGTTCCATCTAGCAGCTAGCCAGGGAGCAGTCATTTGGCTGTCAGCTCATTGGAGAGCATAAATATAATTTATCTTTTGCTTTTAAAACTGCTAATGAAGACGAATGCTGTCTGTATTCCCAGTCTCAGGGATCAGGGGCTGTAATGGAGAAGGCACATGTATTCCTTGGCTGTACCTGCTCGATTGCTGGCTCTGACACTGACGTCATTGAATAGAGATTTCTGCCTGGTGGAGACACCTGGAGCATGAGCTTTACTTGATATGTTATGCAAATCCTTTAGCACATGAGGTTTTTTTTAGCATGACAGCTAATAAACAGATGTCAATTACTGGTTATGATTTAATGGCTGTTTTTACACCTTTTTAAGTAAACAAAATACAGTAGCTGGCATTGCTTACTAACATTATGATATAAAAAGTTTCATAGTAAACCAATGCTTATCTAATCTATTAATAAATTTTACTAATTTCTCTTCTTAAGGTGATTTCCTTTGTTCCCCCTACAATCTGATACTTGTATTTTCTTGTGATTTACTGGCTGTAGAGATATTCTGGAATTTTTATTTAACTTTTCTCATCTCTCTATATAGTCTCTTTTCCACCTGTCTTTCTAGTTTTCTCCTCTTGAAATAAGTTTATGTTTTCTGGTCGAGTTTTCTTTGAGACACGATCCTCTGATGCCCCCTATTGGGCTCCTGTAGGATTGGACTGTCCCTGTGCTTTGCAAAAGCCTGAGACACTAAGCCGCCTTTCTCTCTTGGTTGGTTAGTTTGGTTTTTCCCTTGGTTTTAGGAGCAGAGAATCCTAGACACAAAGAAGGCAAAGCAGTTGAAAACTATGGGCTCTGTTCTTAAATTCTGCCAATTGTGTAGCGGCTGATAACAGACACTCGCAAGCTGTTTCCCATTCACACATTAAAGGGTTTTCAGTAAGACAGTCTGTTTCATTTTGGCAGCAGTGTCTGGGTTAGCCATCACCACCATCTTTACTGAGGAAGGAAACGGAAGCGTGGCGTGGTGGAATAACTTGTCCACTGTGAGCTGGAGGGACAACTTCTGTTGTCTGGCTCTGGAAGCCACCCACCTAACGCTTCCTGTCTGTTGTGTCTCACCCCCTCTTGTACTCCAGCAGCCCTGGGTCTCTGTGTACCCTGGAGAGCTGCCATCCCTTTCACAACTTTTGCAATGATGCAAAATTCCAATGGCTATTTTTGAGTGGAAAAATCCAAAGAGAAATGGAGTTTTTTTTTTTTAATGTGCAACTTCTTTCTATTGTATTAATTGAAAATGGATGACAAGGTTGAATCTAAATTTGGTAGGGTACTTTGCAATGTATCAGTAATAGCATTGCATGACTCTGCAGGATAAAACTCGAAATAGCCAACGGGTATAGGAATTTGGGTTATGGCCTCATGCCGTGTAGACATCCTCATTGACATGGCATAATATATTCGAGAGTGAGTATTTATCTCAAAGGTCATTGGTTGAAATCGAGGAGTTCCATAACTGACAAGGAAGATGAACATCTGGACAAGATTCTGTGTATCTGTTCAATTGCTCCCTTGAATGTACTGGCTATGGTTTACTAAGTGTTCTGGGAGCACACTTCTCTTACCTGAGCCTGCCTTATATCTCTTTGGATTAGATTAGATCTCTTCCACAGCTTTCTCCCTTTTGATGAACAGCAAAATCATTATATGCAGTCATCATCTCCACAGAGATTTCATAAAACCTATTAGTGGGAGAGAGATGTTGGCTAAGGTGACATCAAAGTGAATGCATTGATGTGCGGACGCCTGTGTCTCTGTAAACATATAGAGGTGTATATGGACTACTTGAATCTTTTCCAAGAAGATTGCACATTAATCTTCCCTCTGGGTACTTGTGGCCAACAAAAGAATCACACTACCCTCTCCTGGCCATCCTGATTTTTCATTCTGAGATTCACTTGAGGGTTTCATTTACTTTGACTATATTAAATGCTCCACCAGCAGCCGGCTGGCGGAAGAGGTGTTATCGTTGGTCAGTATTTCAGAGAGGCTGAATGAGTTGTCCGGGGGTAGCCAGCACGCCATTCTAACAGATGGTGGGAGGCCAGAACTGTTAGATTGAAGCCCCACTCACCTGGTCATTCTGTCCTCGCGCTCAGTCACCGGGATATGTGACTATGTCACCCAGTGATTTTCCTAAGTTCTGCGTGTGCTCGCCTTGCGGCAGCTCTCACTGCTGCCTTTCTGGTAATCCATGTCGGTCCCATCACTCTGGCTTCCCTCTGTTTTGCAGCTTTGGAGACATGCTGTCCTTCACCCTGACAGCCTTTGTGGAGCTGATGGACCATGGCATAGTGTCGTGGGATACGTTTTCCGTGGCGTTCATTAAGAAGGTAATGTGGTTTTTGCTACCCTAGATTTGCACCACTTCTTTCCTTCATGGATGTGTTTCTCTGCTCTGGAGGTGATTTTATTCTTGCGTGCTTTGGTTCTTTATGTTTGAAAGGTATGTGTGATTTGTGAGAGTACTACATACATAGGAGTTATGACATTGGACTTCTTTGTGACAGTGACACTTTGTTGTCATAGGTGGGAGATGATAATCGATTGCATGGAAACACCCATAGTTAGGGAAAGGGAAATCAGTGTGTCATGTGATTAATACATGCACAGGCATCCATGAGCATTACTTTTATTGGCATCCAGACTTAAACAGAGTCCCTATGGTTCTTTCTCAGACCGTCCACCCCATGCTGGTCTCTAGGGCAAAAAAACAGGCAAAATGCATTACAGTCCTGAGTTCCTAGATTTAAAGCAAGGAGGTGAGGGAATGATGCATACCTGGATGTCTGGGTCCATGCATCTTAAGTGGAATGAACCTGCCTACTTGTGGTCATGGACCAGTCAATACTTCAGGCATCAACCAGTTCAACTGGCCAACAGCTCTCAGATGCCTGTTCCAGCTCTTAGTAAGTTTCTGTGCATCCGTCATGCACTAGGCTGTCTCTCCATGCACCGTGAGTGTAGGATGGCTGTAATTACATGGCTTGATCCATAGGATTTGGCTCAGAGTAAAATTTTAATGTATTTCTGTGAAATAAATGCTTAGAATTTGATTAGCTATTAACATGCAAAATGGATGCAGTAATACTGATCTTAAGTACATTTTAATTAAAATTTTGGTTATGAGGAGAAAAAAATTATAGATCTGTATTCTCTTTATGTAGTATCACTAGTGGTTAGAGACCGCTTTATTTTCTATCCATTTAAGAAAGTGTTTGTCACTCACTAAAATTAAATGTAGAAATTATATTAAGCTTAAGAAAATGGAGACTCACATTCAATACAGTTGAGGTGCAAACTTAAATGCTTTTAGAAAGTAAACAGATTTAATATATTTGATTTCTTTATTCCCAGTTATTCTGCTTCTTTTGGATTGTTACTTGGAAATCTTTTAAATGAATTTGAGAAGAAGAAAAGTAATCAGAAAATTACTTGGTTTTTTGTTTTTTTTTTTTTTGAAGGTTAACTTTTTATTCATTAGCTGGACCAAATTCAGCACTTTGACAACCCAAGAATTGTATGCAGGCATCTGTCTTTTAAATGGAGCTTTATCTGCCCAAAAATCAACGAGGAAATGTGCTGACAAAAGATGCCTATCTCTGCAGCCTCAAGCTGGCTTCCTATTAATGCCAAATTCATGCCACTTTAGAGAAATACATTTTTCTCTGCCAGCTCCTGACTCCTCTCTATTCCTTTATTTGGTTTTGTTCTGTGTGGGGCCGGCTTCTCGCTTACAAACTTTGTAATAAATTACAGCATTTCATAAACAAGACAACCCTTGGAATTACTTAATACCAGTATATGTTGTTATTGCTTTTTAAATATGTGGCTACTTAAAGAGAGGGTAGGAAGACATGAGGAGGAAAAAAAAGAAAAAATAATAGAACTATCCGTGTTGTGAGTTGGTTTCCTTAAGCCAAGTATAACATCATTTCCTTCTCATGGCAGGAAAATTTCCCATAAATGCTCTTGAAACCCTTGCTGTATAGGAGGACCTGGGTTAACCCCACAAGTATTGTCAGTTCCTGGATACACATCAACCATTTCCTTGTAGAGACCCAGTAATTTCTGTCTTTTAAAAAATTTGAAGGGTTTATGGATCTGTCCCCAGAGAAATTAAAATGTGAGAGTGACATGCTGTGCTTTCCATGGTTGTTTTAATTTTTCTTTTGATAGAAAATGTATGGAAGTTTTCATTCTCAATGTTTATTATGTTGCAAATTCATCCACCATGATGCCTATCAGTTTTTAAAAAATGTTACCCAGAGATTCTTCTGTTATATTGAGTTAACATTTTTAAATGAATGAGCTGTATGGAGTGGTAGTAGAAAGGAACTTTAAGAAGTTTGTGGAGGAAGTGGAATTCAGTGGAAAGTTTATGTTGGTGCAAACCTGTTTTGAAATCCATGCATGGTTTTTTTCCTGATGTGTGCTTTCCACAGACTCTGCAAACTTGTGTATATAATGACTGTTAAGTCCTCTTTCCTCTTTTCCCATGATACAGACATACTTTCAGGAAGCTGTCCTGGGACTGGCTTAGGCCGGTTTACCCATGTCAACCAAATTTGCACCTGGGAAGCAGGAAGAAATTGAAAGCAGAGGAAAGTGTTGCTGATCATTGAGGGGAAAAAGAATTAGAAATCTTAACCAGACAATCATTTATTTTCATTTCATTTGAGAGAGAAAGAAAGACACGGCACACAGACACACAGAGATGTTTTCTATCTGCTGACTCACTGTCTAAATGCCAGAGTACCCACAACAGCAATAATCAGTAAGTGAGAGTTTGATCATTTAAATGTCTGCTAAACATCACTGACCAGTGAAAGCCAAAATAAAAAGTTAGTTTCAGCAAACCACTGTTATCTTCTGCGAAGTTGTGCATATGTCTCTGGAGTTGAGTGCTCACTGTGTCAGGCAGATCTCAGCTCGGTGCAGTCTGCGAGACACTCAGTCTATAACATAGTTAAGTGTTGCCAGAGTGATTGGTTCCAAATGTCAGTGAATTATGGAAATGGTGAGTTTAAAAGACTTTAAATTATTAGTTTAGTGATTGCTGTAATGATTAGCTTCATGAGGGAGACATATATAGAAATGGATGTAAATGTGGAGTATAAATATGCCCACATAACAGCTAAGATTTCAGATCAGAGCAAGCTTGTTGAAAGAGGGAGAACTTTAAAACCCATCATAGAAAGACGTTCTTATCAGAAACCATTTAGAGTTCTGATTGAATATTTTGAGAAAGGAAATTGTATAAAAAGAAACTTTATGAAGCTGGGTGGTGTGTTTCCACTCAGTGGAAAATTTGAACAGAGGAAACTGAAACAGGCTGTTTGGGTCACACAGGTGTGAGCTGGTCCAGTGGCCAGTGTTGTGTATTATTAGTCTCTATTGGGTATGGGTGCTTTAAAAAGATAGAGAAAATATAATTGGGAAGGGAGGAGTAAGAGACAATGAGATTGACTTCTGTCCTATCTATTTTTAAGCTTTGTTGAAATATCCAAATGGAGGTGCTTCTTGGATCCCAGGAGTATGTGTGAAATATATTTCGCAGTAAATGTCTTATCGGTCTCAGCAAGACCAAAAAGCCCCCAATGTTAAAAATTGGGTGTATCTTGCTCAGCTTCGTACTACCAGATCCATAAAACAGTGTAAGCTTGTTATATTGCACATGTGCAATTCATGTTTTTGAATAGTTAATGAATGAGTGAGTAAATATTAAAAGACTGTAAACAGGCTGAATAACTAAAGCTTGGGGAGTGGGAGGAGTTTAACAGTATCCGCAACAGGTGCAAGATCCGTGGAGTCCTGACAGATATGCATGTACTATAAACAGATTGTAAGGAGAGAATCAGTGGAGACAAAGCCAGAAGTATTGTCCATGAACTGCTTTCTGAGTTTTTGACTTTCTGTTACTACTGCCAAGAGCTGTGAGTGAAAAGCAGCAGGGTGGTAAGTCTAGGGATTTCTCTTCTCTTTAGCAGAGGTCTAAGTTAAGTATTAAACCAGGAACACAGGGTGAGAGTTTTTGTGTGAGAAAGATGGCCATGCCGAAAGAAAGGTGGTCTTTGTGTGGTAGACTTGGATTGGAGCAGACTGGAAAGATTAAGGCAAAGGCTTGCCAGCAACAGTAAACACTTTGAGGAAGTTTATAAGGCCCGAGTGGAGGCTGGAGCAGTCTTTTGAGAATCTTTAAATCCTCACATTTTTTTTCCCCCTGCCTTCGGATTGTAAACGAAGGGCTTTTTTGGAACTTGAAAGCCTGTAGTCCCAGTAGTTGTTAGTGGCATTTCACCCCACCTCCTGACATCCTTGAAGCTCTGGGCCAAACGGGGTGCTTATACCTGCACCTCCCTCCCCTGCTCTCCCCGGGGGAGTCTGTGGGCAGACACACTTGAGATGTTCACGGGAAGTTGTCAAGGGACATTTGCGTCTTGTCACAGACTAGGGTGGAGAGGGGATGAGGAGAAGGGGTTGATGGAAGGGAGAAAGGCAGAAACTGGTCCTGAAAGAGAGAAGCAACAAGAGTATTTGTCATGAAACAAAGTTATTTAGCTTTTTAAAGAGCAGTCATTATGTTGATTCAATAATGGCCTTTTAGTATGAGTTGTCAACAGACAGTAATAACATTTAATGAGGCCTCTAAAATAAAACCTTTATGTTACCCATGTGTTTGCATTGCTGCGATCCATTACTGTAACCCCTATTTACTTCCCACTTACATTCTGATTTATTATGTTTGGGGATTTAGTGATTAATTCCTTAAGGAACGTATTTCAGAGCTTAAACTATTATTTTAATTTTTAGCACTGCTAATTTAGATGCTTTCCTATTTGTTAAGTTCAAGAGCTAGGAAGAATTTATTTTAGCCCCATACTGTAATGGGAAGAATGGGGGATTGCCGGCTGTTGCTTCAGACTAGCAGTCATGAAAGTGGCCAGTCACGGTGAAGTTCTGTCAGTTGAATCGCGTTGACAAGTGTGACGTGTGTGAACCCCTGAAGAACGTAGCAGGGACATGTAACAGTAATGCAAACGCCGTGGGTTGTATGGAGGAGTAGTCTGAGGATTGAAGAGGAATGGCTGTGAGTGTATGTTGAAATTATTGTCTCAGAGGAACACAGGCTCTATGATATTGCTGCTGCAGCTGTCTGTCCCGGAAAGCTGAAACCCAGAAGAATCATCTTGGGAAAACCACACAGAATTGTCCTTTGAATATATGTATTGTTTTGAAAAAAGAACTTGATTGTGAAATTTTTTAAATAGGATGAGCTGTGCTTTGCAGTGTGCTGTAAACAATTGGTGTGGACTCCATGAATTTTTGGGATTTTTCCTGTAATTCCAGCATTTTTCGTGTCTTATGTCTCCTAAGGGATCCTAGCTGACATTTTTGGTTCTCTTCTTCTCTGTTCCACTGAGTAAGAGCAGCCCGTGAAATGTGTCCCGTCTTGGATTTGCAGATCGCAAGTTTTGTGAACAAGTCAGCCATTGACATCTCCATCCTTCAGCGGTCCTTGGCCATTTTGGAGTCCATGGTGCTCAATAGCCATGACCTCTACCAGAAGGTGGCGCAAGAGATCACTATTGGCCAGCTCATTCCACATCTTCAAGGGTAAGCTTGCTAAGGCCTCTCTGGGAGGTACTGTGCTTGACACACAGATGTGGCAGTGCCCTTGGGAACATTCCATATTGGTTTGATTAAATGAAATAGAGTCTTGATGTGCTGTTGTAACCCCACCTCTGGTAAGCTCTTTGTCTGTTCTGGGCACTGTTCTTTCCCTCCGAGAAGTATTAGTTTCAAGAATGTTGGTAGATTTTGGTAGAGTTCTCCTTCATGAGATGTAATGAGACATTTGTTCGCATAAATTGTTTACAGAATCGCCCCCTGATGTTATAAACGGTGTTTTCTGTGACACATAGCTACATTTTCATAGTTATGTGGAAATTTTACCTTAGGCACACTTTTAGCTAGGGATTTTTAAATGCAAGCTTATTCCTTAGCTTGGAAGATCCTACAGTGACCTTTTTTTTTGTAATATAGTATATGTGGATTTTCTTTTTCCTAGCAGTTGGAGCTGTACCGTGGGGAGAAGCTGCTCTGTTAGCCTGTAGTGTTCAGGGGTTTTCACTCTTAGGTACCTAGTAAGACTGCCTCAGATGATAACAACCAGAGGAGGATTCCATGGTGCGATGCTATTTTATAAGCTCTCACAGGTTGCTGGTGGCAGCATATGGTGTGTGCTACCTTACATGGGAAAGGGGATTTGTCAGGATACTAGAGTGCCTTGCAGAATCCACAAATAGTTTAAGTAGGGCCTGGTGCAGTAGCCTAGTGGCTAAAGTCCTCGCCTTGCATGTGCCAGGATCCCATATGGGCACCGGTTCTAATTCCAGCGGCCCCACTCCCCGTCTAATTCCCTACTTGGGGCCTGGGAAAGCAGTCGAGGATGACTCAAAGGCTTGGGACTCTGCACCCATGTGGGAGACTCAAAAGAGGCTCCAGGCTCCTGACTTCTGATTGGCTCCAGCCATTGCGGCCACTTGGGGAATGAATCAGCAGACAGAAGATCTTCCTCTGTCTTTCCTCCTCTTTGTATATCTGACTTTCCAATAAAAATAAATCTTTTTTTTAAAAAAAAAATGGCTTAAGTATACATGTCCAGGGAGGCTACTATGGTTTCCTTAGTATACTCAGTACCAGGCCTTTGTGTAGAGAATGGGCTGCCACTGGCTTTCGGAAGCTCCTGCCCCTTGCTCTTTTAGCTCAGGGGATTTGATGGGCCTCACTAGGGTCGTGGGAACGTTGGCGTAGTCCCTAGTTTTCTGTGATATCACCACCTAGCACATGAACTGTTCCCTGATCTGGAGGCAAAGACTGGCCAGGGTTTAGACGGTAAGTCACAGAAGCTGTGTGTATTGGAGTCACCAGGAACGAGAGCAAGTCTCCAAGAATGGTCTCTGAAAAAGCTCATCAATTTTCCGTCTCCCGGAGTGTGAGATGTAATGATTTCACAGCGGGTGTCTTCTCTCTCAGGGTCAAAGGCATGCACGTTCATTCACAGTCACTTCTGTAACACGGAGGGATTGTCCTTCACCACGCCGTGCTCAGGGTTTTGTATGCACTGCCTCGTTTCAGCCTCTGCACAGCAACTCTGTGAACTTGGGAGACCCTTGAAATTGTCCCAGCCGGTGTGGAACCAGGCTTTGAGTCCCATCCCACAGTTCTGCTTCTTCCCAGCCTGACAGAATGCCCCTCCTTGTGACTGATGAGTCATTCTTTAAGTGCTGGGTCTTACTTGTTATCTCTGCTTGACTTACAGCTTAACATAAATACCGGTTGAATATCCCTGATCCTAAATGCTTAGGACCACAAATGTATCAGGTTTGGGATTTCTTGGTATTTGCTTGCTTAAAATGAAATATCTTGGTTTTAAATTGTGGAGCATGTCATATTTTCAGATGAGTGATGCTTGACTTGTTATTAAAAATGCCTCTAATTGGAAATAGAGTTTTATAGTACATAATATAATGTGGAGACTAGTGGCTTCCTCTAGATAAGCCCAGGAATGTGGAGACACAGCCTAAACTACTTCCTGATACATTTCATGCATCAGACAGATGTTACACCCACACACACATACTTCCATGCTACTATTGCTGCATCTACTACTATCGCGGACAGAGCCAGCCTGCTGCCTGCCCTGTGGTGGCTATAATGCATTCTTAGTGCTGAGGGCACTTGCTGGGGTCTGACTTCTAATGTTCTGGGTCTTTCAGGACGGATCAAGAAATTCAAACCTATACCATTGCCGTGATTAATGCGCTTTTCCTGAAGGCTCCTGACGAAAGGAGGCAGGTAAGTGGCATTGTTTTCGTGTTAAGACTTGAGTTCAAGGCTGGGAAAGTATTTCTGCAGAGAGAGCCCTCTCCTTCCCATCCAGGGTGCTCCTTGGAGGTACTGCCGAACAGCTGGCTGTGTGACCGGGTGACCGCTCTGGGTTACTGGCACATCCGGGGCCAGCAGGTGGGAAGGGAGAAGCCGTTGATCACCGATGAGTGCCAGGCACATTGTAGTAACAGAGGGCTTTCATGCAAGGGAACCCAACAAAGAAGCTGACAGCATGGAGAGAGGGCCGCACCACTGCTGCCATGCGAGCTGAGTCAGAAGCCCCTGGGACTTTCCGTGCCTTCTCAGTGGAGGCTTGTTGGGTGAGGCAAATTTTGTTCCCATTTTCCTGATGGGGAAAGGGACACAGCAGAGAATTCACACTTGATCCAGAGAGGAGTGAGGTGGAAAAGAGAGAAGACAGGGCGGAGAATATGCAGATTGCTGTCTCTGGCTGCTTCCCTGCATTCCCGCGTCCCAGGTGCACTTTGGTCAGGGTATTTCTTCCCAAGGTGTGTGAATGTGGCTGGAAAGTGTGTTTTCCCTCCGCTGTGGTGAAAGAGGAGATCCCTCCAGTGAATCTATGTGAGGGTGCACTTGACCTCTAGAGCCTTTGGTTCTTTCTCATCCGGAGAGAACATTGCAGTGAAGAGAAGAACTGGAACTCTGCCATTGCATGAAGTTGAGTTGCAGCTCAAATCCATTCATTTTTCTCATCTACGTGATACATTCCTATAACATGTTACCCAGTCACAATGCACATTCTTCAGACACTTGGTGGAAATACCACATCTTTCGGTAATAGACTATGTGCTGGGGGCTTGATGACGGATCCTGATTTAGAAGCCTTTGAAGGTTCATCCGCTACTAGGTACAGTGTCAGGAATTTTGTCGTTTCGTCCTTTTTCACTCCCAGGGACTTTAAGCCTCAGGGAGTAAAAGTGCGGGGTCTGGCTTGTTTTCCATTTAGAGTTTTTTTGTTATCTCTCTGGGGGTTCTGCACCACGAGCTGTGTTGCTATCTACTTTCCCGGGGTTTGATTTGATGTTGGCTGAAGGCAGGAGTGCCAGGCCCTGCCCTCCCTGAGTCTGGGCTGGGACCTATTAGCCCACTGGGTTTTCAAAAGTAAAACATTTTTAAAAATTAAAACATTGTAACAGCCATGTAAAAATTATACATATTTTTGGAATACCGTGCTATCTTTTGATACATGTACACATAATCACATGTTGAATCAGGGTGAATAATAATTGTCTTCCTAAACATCTGATATTTTTTTATGTTGGAAACATCCAAAATCCTATCTTACAGGTTTTTTTTCTTTGATAGAGTGATGTGTAATGCCAGTGACATTATCTGCAATGACCTTACTGTGCAATAGAATCCCAATTTTCTTACTTTTTTCCAGCTTTCACTTAGGATCCATTAGTCAACACTTCTCATCTTTCCCTCCTGTTAATCAGCACTAAACTTTTAACTTCTATGAGATCAGCTTTGGGTTTTTTGGCTTTCTAAACTCCACATGGGTGTGGCTGGGTTTTTTAAGAGTTGTTTCTTTTTTTTTTCTTTTTGTAGATCTGAGACAGTGTAATGGGTGGGGCTTCCCCTGTAATGTTTGTGTCTAAATATTAAACTCAGACCATCTGTCTTAGACAGTCCAGGAAATTGGCTGGCAGCTCTTTGTCATTGGAGGGGAGGAGCTTGAATCTTCTGCTGCCCTGACCCAGGGTGTCTGGCCAAACCCCATAGTTGCTGAGTGTGGAATGTGAGGGGTCAAGGAGGCTGCATGTGGCCTGGGTTCTTGGAAGTCTCGTTTCCCCATCTGTGGAAGAAGGGGTTAGATTACATGAAATGCAAGTTCCTGTTTTCCCCAGGGGCCATGATCTCACTTGGATCTCTGAATCTAGACCAATGAGTAAGATGTGTGCATTTTGCATATTACTTTACACCAAGCACTCCTGCTAATTTGTTGAATGAGAGTTTCATAAACATGATCAAATAAAAATAATATGTTCATTTCTACTGACGTCAGAACACTGGTAATAGTGGAATTGCAATATGATACTAGGCTTGGATTCTGTGGAACAAATCTGTTTTTGAAGAGTTTGCAGCATAAGATGGACAGAATAGAATCTGATCCAATAAGTCAGTGACAGTAATAAACTACTGTAAAGAGTAGTCTAAGTATATAAGAAAATAATCTAGTTAAGGAATAGTATATGTAATCCTGCAGAAATGTGTGAAGAATTGTATTTCTAATTCAATCTTTGAAATCAAAATAGTTGTAAGCCTCTGAATTGATGTAGACATTTTAAAGTACAAAATGAAAACTCTAGATCACCAAAATAATGGGAACATTATGATTTTCAAATTGTTTAAAAAGTTTCAGTGAGTTATGAGAGTTAGCTAAAAAAATGATTTCAAATTTCACCCTGAGTTCTATTTGCTGTTAGAAGGTCGATGAAGGCCACTTAAGCACAAGTTTAAACAAACTGATATAACTGGTATCACCAGCTAACGGTGTACGTCTTTGTCCAAGGAAGTTAAATTTTTAGCTAGTGTAGATTTGACATTGACGTTGTTATTGGCATATGGCATGGAAACTTTAAAAGTTCTGGTTGTTTTGGTCAAAGAGAAAAACACCAACGTTTGCCAAAAGTGCTAGTGTTATTAGGGATCTCTGATTTCTCAGCATGGTGGTCAGTGTTTGGTATTTTGTGGTTTTATTTCATTCTCACCTTACGAGAAGGTTTTCTTGTTTCGTTTTCCCATACCTTGTCATGGAGGGAGGGTGCATGGGGTTGATTAGGGGAGGAGGTTTGCTCTTAGATGGGAAAATGCATTCTTTCTCTTACAACTACTTGCATCATCCAGTCTACTTTTTTAAAGGCAAGTACGTTGGCATGATTAGTTTCAGATATCCCTGCACATCTCTGTTGTTTTGATAAATGTTATGAAAAGACAGAGAGAAAGACTGAGTAGAAAATTCAGAAAAGATGGAGTTAAAAAGAAGACTGAAAGACACCCCTACTGGGCTTTGCAGAAATAGAACTCCTACTCTTGTGGCTGTTGTGGGGCCACTTACTGCCTTGCTTGATGTGGACATTCTCCTACGTAGATCATTTTCCAGCATATGTGGCCATTCCAAATGTGCTGATTGCATTAAGTGTATTTTCGAAGTTAAGCTATGTTTTATGTTATCATTCCATATCAGTATATCTAAATGTACATGTGCAACTTTCTATACTTCTATATCACTGTAATGCTATAACAGTCAGCTATCAATGCTCATGCTTATTAAGCCAGCTTTCTAAATAGTGCAAAAAAAAAAAATCCTAGACAATAAGAATGTTTCTGTTTTCTTTCTGACCGAGTTACCATCCTTAGAAGGAGGTCCCAAATATTTTGTTTGTTTTCCTATCAAACGTTTATTTCTGACCTATCTCAGAAATTATACTTCAGGCTTGAAAAGTAAAGAAGTATAAATTGGTCTCTGTATGTGCTTGTGAGGAGCCCGCAGTCTTGAATGGAAGATAAATAGTGTAAGCAGATAATTACAATAATTGCTCTGTTGGATGTTGTAAATATATTGTCTCTACTAACTTGAGTACCTTCTAAAGCATTGTACTAAAATAGGCACAAAGAAGAATATGGTTTTATTTTTATTGTTGTTGTTGCTGTTAATGTGACTATTGTGCAGTAATTTCATTTTGCAAAAGAAAAGAAATGAAAAGAACTCTGGAGTCCTTTGGGCCTTTTGTCATCTGGTCCAAGGACAAATAAGAAAGAAACAGAAATAAACCAATGGGCTTTTCTGTTTAGATGGAAAAGACAGCCACTGCTCTCTCCCCAGTGTGTAAAGCGAAGTTGTTTCTTGGTTATTATTGTTGTTTCTGAATGGTCAAGGTCCCCACTTTCTTGCTTCCAAGAGCATGCAGGATGTGCTATTGCAGTTCAAGTTGCAAACATCTAGATTTTTCTGAGTCACCTTATGGTGCTTGCTCGCTTGTCAATGCGGTGGGTCAGCAGGGGTGGGGGCGGGAGGTTTCAAAGAAAGCTGCCAACGTCTAACAGAGCGCTCTGCCTTCCCACCCTTTCTTCTCTCCTGCTTGCTTTCCTCTCTGTGGTGGCGCTGATGCCCCTAGGTTGATGCAGAGAGCAATGTTGACATCCTTGGGTGTCCACTGACTGTAAGTCATCCGCGTTCCCTTTGTCACCATAAGAGGGCGCTGTTCTCCCGTGGTGCTACTGTCTGTCCTTGCTCCTATGCTGCTGCCCACCCCCCCAGTGGTTACTTCTCGTGTTTTTGGTTATCCTTGCTTTCTGAAGATTTATTTTAACCTTGGTAGAATTCATGATTTTTATTTAACTTTTGTTTTTACTTATTTGTTATCTTCTAATTATTTGAAAGTTAGGTGTACAGAGACATGGACAGTGAAATATCTTTTGTCTGTTGCTTCACTTCCCAAATGACCAAGGCAGCCCAGCGCTGGGTCAGGCTGAAGCCAGGAGACAGAAAGCCCACGTGGCTCTCCTGTGTGGGTGGCTGGGACCCAGACACCTGCAGCCATCACCTACCTGCTGCCTGCCAGGGTGCTCATCGGCAGGAAGGAGGAGCCAGGAGATGAGCCTGCACAGTCTGATACGGGATGTGGGTATTACAAACAGGATCTTAACCACTGTGCCAAACACCTGCCCTAAATGCTTGTTCATGATCATAGCTTAGTTTCCTTTCTTCTCAGTGGGATTAGCAGTACCAAAAGTGCTCCCCATCACAGTGCAGCTTTCTGCGATCTTCCTGAATGTGAGCAGTATTTTTACTTTTTGAATGTGTGTGCTAGGACTGTGTTTCAACTGTGAATATTTAGAAAAGAAACCTCGTGGATAATTTAATAAAATTGTCTGCCAGTCTTCTTCGCCATGTTGAGGGATGCCAAATTCAAGGCACGGCCTGTGGCTGTCAGGCCCAGCAGAGCTGAAGTCTGCTCTGCTCTGGAAGAGCTCGGCCATTGGGCTAGACACTGTCCTTTCACTAAAATGCCACTCAGTTCACCTCTGTGGCCTTTTTCAAGACCTTTGTCTGCTTTGATTTTGTGTGGATGGAGATAAGCTGGCAGCCAGGAAACTTAGGTCTTCATGGTCATGGCCGTCTAACTCAGTATGTGATGTTTTTGGCCAAAGCTTTCAGTACTTGCTCTAGCAAAACACAGTGAGCCCCCTGCTGGAGAGCCGTCGTTCTGGCTGCAATGTTTGGTTTTTGTTCAGCACTCACTTCTTTCTGGAAGGAGGAAATTCCTAAAAGCAAAAACAGATCAAACAAACAAATAAATAGAATTGCAGGTACCAGATTTCCTCCTTTTGTTTTTGAATATAGCTTTTATAAGCTCAAGAGAGCATTCAAAAAGTAACATGAACACCACTGCCTGTTGGAGGTTCATTCTCTCAGAAGAAATACTGCTGATACCCAGTTATTAAGTCCCACCTGGGGGAAGGGCGTTTTGGGCCGTGTTGCCCTCTGTGTATCCTAAGCCTTTGTGTGTGTACGTTTCTGTTCCTCAGGAGATGGCAAACATTTTGGCTCAGAAGCAGCTGCGCTCCATCATTCTCACGGTGAGTACCGAGGTGATGTGGCCGCCTGGCTGGGGGATAGCCTGGGTGGTTTATGCTTCTCCTCTTCGGTCGAGAGCCGTGGCTTGCTCCATGGTGACCTGCTGCTGTGGTGAAGCAGCAGGACCTGGGAAGGAGGGAACAGTTGGCTTTTGGATAAAGAAACGGGGCGTTCCTGCGGGAGTTGCCTCTCGTGGTTGGAAGCAGGAGTCTGGAACTGGAAGGAATGCAGCAGGACCTTGCTTCAGCAGCAAGGGTCCTCAGGCTGCCTTACATTCCTCAGGGCTTTCAGCTCCGCCTGGAGGAGAATCCGAAGCTCTGGCTCTTCCTCTGTTCCCCGATCTGAGATTGTTAGTGGTTTTAATGAGGAAGCAACATGACGCTGTGAGAGGCCCTGAAATTTTGACTGTTATTTTGCCTGATCTTCTGAAAGAAGGAAGGCGGGCAGAACAGGCATTCGTGGCAGTGTAGAAACGGCCGTAAGCCCTGGTGGGAAAGAAGCCCTAAATGGTTAGCTGCAAATGCTTGGGAATGAACCAGGAGTAGGATTTCCTGAGGCCTGACCAGCGGTCTGGTTGATGTGCCTGCTTAAAAGGAAGAGGAAGAGGAAGGAAGATAGAGGAATGGGGAGGGGAAAGAAAAAGCATTTCTGGTTGTGTGATTCCAAAAATGAATCGCAAGTTTACAGTTTAACACACACCCTGTAAGATGTAGGTTTTATTATTATTCAGGTAAACTTAAGTCCACAAAAGGGATGACAGCCTTGCTGTTCTTTATAATCCACCAAGAAGAGGGCCACTTGGGGAAGCACCTGAGCAGGTCATCGGAAAATGGAAGCAAATCTTTTTTTGTGGCTTTTAAGGAAAGGAATGAGAGAATCCAAGAAGGCTGATTAAGCAGTTTGGGATTGGCTAGTTCAAATTCAGTGGATTCTGGAGTATCTGGCACTTGATCCTGCACCATCAGGGCCTGGTGGTAGGGACCCCGAGTCCCGGAGCCTGACTGAGGAAGACTGGAACCCCTGGCTCAGGCACACACATGCACATGTACACACATGGGGTCTGATGCAAGGAAGCTATAAAAAAGTTAAAGCTCCTTGTGGGCAACAGGAAACACATGTTTGGTGCCCAAGATCGATGGTAAGGAATGCAGTGTGTGAGGAAGTAGGATTTTAAGTTTTTGACCATCAAAGCTGGAGAGAATCAAGATGACAAACTTCCCCCATTCACCCCCAAACTCCCACCCACATACTCTGAACTAAGTCTTGCTTGAAACTTCTGATTATGTGGGAAGTACAGGATTCACACTTTGATTATTTTTTTTACAGTGGATTTCAATGAAAATAGATGCTATATTGAAGTGTGTTTTGGTGTAGGTGTTTGTGCAAGGAGAGGGAAAATGGGGAGATAAAGGTTTGGAATGTGTAGTTAGACCGTCTTAGCCTATAGTTGGTATTAATCTTGGTGGCATTGAGGGCTAGAAGCCCAGAGAAATGAGTGTGTGGAAGGACAGCAGTGGTCACGGCATCACAGGGTCAGTTTGCTCCATTTGGTGACTGTTATGAGCTACAAGCTCCAGGTTGGTACTCAAGGTGTAGATACTTTCAGATTGCCATGGATGCTCCCACATCCATTGGCATCCATTCTGAACATTGAAGCATGTGGAGTTGGATCCCTCCCCATCGCATTCTCTAGCTTTCCCCCACCCCCGGCTCATTGGATCAGTGACTCTGTATTGTGCTACTTTCCTCTCTTCCTTCCATTTTGCTCTTCTTGAATCTCCTGTCCTAGTATGGTGTGTCCAGCCATGGAATGGAGTCCAGGTGCTTGCTAGGTTGAGAGGCACCCACACAGTACCTTATACACTTCGATTTCCAGCAGTCCTCACTGCATGGCAATTTTTTTTCCCATTGTGGGAAGCTTTGACATGTACTGAACTCTCACTTCAGAGCAGTCTGCCCACAGGCAGTGATGGAGTCCCCCAAAAAAGTGCCCTGGCAGATAGCAAGACATGACTGTGTCCAGCGCATGCACAGCAGACATGAGTGATGGATGTCTTGCCACATTACCTGGTTGTTGGGCATTTGAAAGCTGCAACCAAGAGCTATGCCAGGAGGATGTAGGGTGGGCCGTGGTGTTGACTTAGACAATGATTCCACTCAGCTCTTGTGTGAGCAAGAGGCCTACCCCTGCAGTCTCCCTGCTTGTGTTATATTGGTTCCAGTTTCAGTCCCGTTACTATGGGGAAGGATTATTTTATTTTTCATTTTGTTGCTAACTGGCGAGCACAGTAGCAACCTAAGCGTGTGGTCAGTATGTTGTTATGATGGTTGATGACCCTGGGATGTGCTCTAGGCATTGAGCTGCAGAGCTGGTGGGGACCGTGCTATTGGAGGTTTCCTTGGAAGCATCTTCCCATTTCAAGTGCGGTCACCTAGGAGAAGACAGTGGAGTTGCTTCTGATGGCAGGGCCAGCTCGCTCCTTTCGCAGTTGTCTCGTTTTAGGGCCCTTCTCTGAATTACATGTCCCCATCCAGAGCCCCAGTCCCCATCCAGAGCCCCTTATACTTCCCCGCTCATGCAGTAGGTCCTTACCTGGGTTCAGGCTTAATGACTAGGAATCTTCTGGGCACTGAAACACACAGGAAAGCTCCAGGATCACCTTTCTTTCTTGGTGGTTCTCCAAGTTCCTGCCTCCGTGGCAGCCAAGGCGGACTGCCCAACTTCTCCTGGGCAGTGACGAGGGCTTCTGTTTATTGCTTGTTTCCTCTTTCTCTGTTTTTCCCTCTATCCCTTCCCTCCTCTTTTTCTTAATTTCTTTCTGGCTTTTAAAAAATATGTTTATTTATGTCTTTACTCGAAAGGGAAAGTTACAGAGTAGGAAAGAGAGAGAGAGGAGAGAGAGAGGGAGAGAGAAAGAGTGCTTCCATTTGCTGATTCACTCCTCCAATAGCTACAACAGTGGGGGCTGTGCTGCTCTCAAGCCAGGAACAACTTCTGGGTCTCCATGTGGGTGGGGTGGCCCAAGGATGTGGGCCATCTTCCACTGCTTTCCCAAGTACGTTAGCAAGGAGCTGGATTGGAAGTGGAACAGTCAGGACATGGACCCTTTCCCATATGGGATCCTGATGCCACAATTAGTGGTTGTGCCCGCTGCAGCACTGGTGCCTCTTTCTTTGTGGTTTTTAAAGGTGTCTTCTGTGATCCTTCTTCTAGCATGTCATCCGAGCTCAGCGGGCTATCAACAATGAAATGGCGCATCAGTTATATGTTCTGCAAGTACTCACCTTTAACCTCCTGGAAGACAGGATGATGACCAAGATGGACCCCCAGGACCAGGTGAGTACCCACTGGACGGCAGGGAAAGCCCATGAGGCAAGGAAACCAGGCATTCATAGATTAGGATACCGGTGTTCCATGGTTATCTCACAGCTTGCCAGCTTTAACATCTAACTGAATCTTGGGTCTGAGAATAACCTAAATGACTTCTTCCATTGGGCCCCAAATACTTGCATATTCTTCCTTTATGGGATGAGAAAGCCTGATGTTGCATGGCCACACATCATGGCCTTTGGGTTACCTTCAGGGGCAATAGCCATGGAGTCCAGCTCCCAGGCGTTATGGGCCAGGGAGCGCTGTGTGGTCCTGACTGTGCAGATGGAGGAAGTAACTGCCATTATGCAGTGCTTGGTGGCAAGGGCCAATCTCAGTTTAGATGCAGTTTCCGGGCTGGTGTTTTGTCGGTTGATTATTTGCTGGAATTCTCTGGTTGTTGTGACCAACAAGGGACATCTACATCCAAAAGGCCACATGTGAGGAGGATGAGGGCAGGGAGAAGGCAAAGCTGGGAGCCTGCTAGAGCAGGGCTGCAGCCCTGGGAAGGAAGATGGTCCTGATTGACACATGAGGGCCCGATCCGTCGCAGTTAGGGACTGAACCTGGAAGTGGGTGGCTGTTGGCGTGTGGCCACGTGAGGCTGGAGGACGGAGAGGCTTGGCGAAGCCAGCACTTGTGCCCCATGTCCTTAGGTTGGTCACCTCAGGGGGATGACTGTGTTTCTATACCACAGTGATGGAGGGCAGGGTATCTTTATGAGAAGCAGTTGTCTTAGCTGCCTCCCCTTGCACTAGCTCATTACAAATTTTTGTTTGTTGTTTGTTGTGATACTTAACGTTTAACAAAAATCTCCATCTGAACCATTTTATGTGTGGTTTAGTGGCCTTAAATACATTCACAGTGTCGTGAAATCATTGGCACCATCCGCTTCCAAAGCTGAGTTTCTGTTCTTGGAAACAGTTACTCTGCTTTCACTGCTGCCCTTGGTGGCCACCGACTCTACTTGCTTTTTCTGGGACTTTCTAGGAAGCTGACAGGAATGGGATGAGACAGCGTTTGCCTCTGTGATCTGATTAATTTCACTGAGTTCAGTATCTTCAACATCCATGCATATTGTGATGCTGAAGTCCCTCTGGTATAAGTGGATTTTGAATTTTTGTGTGCACCAAAATGCACACGTCGTGAATTCCGCTTTCCTGAACTTCTGCGCCAAGTGAGTCTGTACCACACTGCGTTCTCCCAGTCACTCCCGGGTGCACGTAGGACAGTTTCCAACTTTTGGCCTTTTGTTTTTCTTCTGTTTGTTTCCACTAAGTCACTTCGGAGCAAGTGTACTGTGAATACTGCTTCTGGTTTCCAACAGTACAAGACTCTGCAGGCTGGCCTGCTCCAAACACAGCCTCCCCTTGGCGTCGGGGCCCTTGTCTGGGGACTGCGCTGGCAGTGGGGATCAGCCCTCCAAGTAAGCTGGCCACAGGGGTAACTGCGGCGTAAAGCCAGGACGTCCAGCAGGGAGAGGCAGGAGGCAGCCAGCCTGATAAGGGCCGCCGGAGAACATTGGTGGTCTTCTGTCTGGTTTTTGTTTTTCTGATGCAATGACTTAAACTCTGGAACATCAGCACAACTAAAGCAGCTCTCCCCCACCTCCTTTTTTTTTTTTCTCTTCCCTAACTCTTTTCAGGCTCAGAGGGACATCATATTTGAACTTCGAAGAATCGCTTTCGATGCGGAGTCTGAACCCAACAATAGCAGTGGCAGCATGGAGAAACGCAAGTCCATGTACACTCGGGATTACAAGAAACTTGGCTTCATTGTGAGTAAGCCCTGGGCTGTGAGCTGCTCCTCCCAGCCCCAGCCCTGCCTCCTGCACCTCCCCTCTGCCCCTGGGGACTTGTGTGTGTGTGTGTGGGGGGGTGACCTCAGCCACATCAGAGCGTGTGGTCCTCCTGTGCTTTGCAAAATAGTTTCCACATGTCCAGATGTTGAGCTGGTTTAAGCATGGTTAACATGAAGCGCTCTTCTGGCTGCGGAGAAGTGGAAGAACTTGCCCAAGTGTGACTAATGGTGTGTGTGTTTATGCAGTCCCGGTTCCGTGGAACGGGAATAGTTAGGCTGGAATGCGACTCAGTGTCACTGCCCCTGCCCTCCTGGTGTGTGAGGAGGTTCTCCCTGAGTCAGATGGGCCGTGGTGTCTGTGGGGTGGGATCACACAGCAAAAGCAAAGCAGAAGTTTCCTGAAATTTAACTGTGATTAGATTTATGCGATGTGTTTTCTTATAAGAGCTTTATCTTGCTAAGGAATGCTGATGGACCGCCTCTTAGATTTTTTTTTTTCCAGTTCCTAAATCAAAGCACAGCTTGTCCCGAACACCATCTGCTGTGTTTGCTTGTCTTCATCACCATGCAGTCTGAGTGCCCTTGGGCTGGTCTCTGATTCCTGCAGGTGTAAAGCTGGCTGTCCGTTTCAGGTTCCTTCATGAACAACAGGCGTAAGAAGTTGGCAGGGATCGTTTTTTGTGCTTGCAGCTATTATTCCTTGAGCACACAACACACACACATGCCTGTTTAAGTGTGTATGTGTTAATGGGGTCTCCACAAAGTTTGGAAAATGCACATTATCCTGTCTTTCTCTGGACCTTTTGAATTGCTCTCATGTGACTATAATAAATACACTTTGTGTAGACACATACTATGACAACACACACATACTATGACAACAGTGGTGAGTGTTTTATGTTTTTGGAGACACCTTGTCTTTTATGGAAACTTTCTTTGGAAAAGTTGCCATCTCGGTGCACCTGTGCCCGTGTATTGTAACCTAGGAGTCGTTCCCTGTTTGGAGGTACGATGGTTTATTTTACCATGGCCGCCTATTTTACTGAATGATTCAGTGCTGGAAGGCTCCCAGTGGAGTCTGTAATTCTCGCTGCCCAGGGTTTTTGTCTGGGATTGCATTGTCGGGATCCATTTGCCGAACCATCCTTGTGTGGTATGCATTGTTGGGCTTCCGGTGTTGTCAGGCCGGTTTCTGCAGACATGAAGGAATTCCCACTTACCCTGCAGTAGATCAGGCTGACTGTGGTGTTTCTTTAGCTACATCGCAGTGGAAATAGGCAAGCTGAGACGCTCTGACTGTGTCCCTGCTGTGTTGTTCCTAGAGCACCACATGCATGTTGGTAGTGATTGGGAGCTTTGAGTGTTGAAATCAGGAGGGGCCATTTTACCCTAACAGGGGCACAGGGGCTGGCGGAACTGCAAGCTGGCAAGGGAGAGGGCATGTTTTTGGTTCATCACTGTAAGTCTTGTGAGCATGTCTCATATTGGTCCAGTCACTGGAGGAATAACGAACATTTTAGAAAGACTGCATATCATCCTCAGCATGCAGACTTTCCTTAGAGAAGCAATCCGATGGCCTTTTTTTAAATAATAAAAAAAGGATTTATTTATTTTTATTGGAATGTCAGATTTATAAAGAGAAGGAGAGACAGAGATGAAGATCTTCCATCGTTGGGTTCACTCCCCAAGTAGCCCCCAATGATTGGAGCTGCGCCGATCCTAAGTCAGGAGCCAGGAACCTCTTCGGGGTCTCCCATGCAGGTGCAGGGTCCCAAGGCTTTGGGCCATCCTCGACTGCTTTCCCAGGCCACAAGCAGAGAGCTGGATGAGAAGTGGAGCAGCCATGATATGAACCGCCAACAATATGGGATCCTGGCGCGTTCAAGGCAAGGACTTTAGTCACTATGCTACCACGCCAGGTCCTCTGATGGCCTTTTTGAGTGATCACAATGCATAGTTTGAACATGACATTTCATGTGAGTTTTCAAAATTAAATACATGTTTCAAACATTAGCAAAAACTACCGTGGCTGCTAGACAAGGGGACGTGTATCCTTGTTGTGTTTGTCACCAAGGCGGGTAGGTGCCTGTCCTTCTGTTGGAAGAACACTTTCCCAGGAGGCACAGGCCAGGAAAACAGGTGCACTCAACATTCTACCTCACCTTCCTCTTCCTTCTAAGTTTGACTTGTGTGGGGAGAGCAAGGTATATCCCTACGCCCTTTGCCCTCACGCCGTAACGGAATTGCCGTGGAAAAGATAGAGGCATGTGTGTTTCTGCTATGTGCCCCGGTGTGGAGCCTGGGGATTCTCCTCCAGGCTGGGATTCCTCTGAACCAAACAGAAAATGCACAATTGAGTTCCTCCCACGTACTGATTTCAGGGTCATTTGTGTCTCTGCCCAAAGTTGTGCTGGTTGTCTGGGGGGCAGGGCAGGGATGCCAGAGTCCACCCTTGGAGGGAAGGGACTCTCCTAGCTGCTGGATATTGGTGACACACGGAGGGCGGCAGTGCAGGGGGACAGCTGCTTTCTCATTGGCAAGCACTAGGCTTCCATGAAATCAGGAGGGCGCACCACGGGCCACGGGAGGAGCAGTTTTTTCTCAGTGGAAGCTTTGTCTGTTTTCACAATGTCGTGAATTCCTCCAGGTTGCTCTTGGAATAGATTTCTGTCTTGTAAGTAGTCTGTTTCATGAGTGTTTTATGAGAAATGATAGTCTTTAAAAAAAATAGGATAAATTTAGTGTGATTTTTAAGGCTTTTACTACTTGTGCTTTCCCTTCCTCGTGAACTGGGTTACGAAGTCCTTTCAGGGAGTTAGCCCAAGTTTTCACTTTCCATTCCTTGTGAAAATTCTCCGAGGCGCAGGGGTCTTGTGTCAGCGAGCTGAAAGGTTGCAGAAGCTAGTCATGACTTCTCATGCAGAAAACGAGCCAGCGACTGGGGCAAGCACAATTTTTGCTTCTGAACAATATCCAACCAGCTGGAAATACAGAAGCCTGGGGAAGGGCATTGTGCGCCCGCTGCGCCACCTAGAGGCCATCTTGCAGAAAACACGCCAAGCTGGCGGAGCCTGTTCAGGGTCTTACCAGGAAAGCCGGGTGCACCTGGCAGAGCTCTGCCTCTGCTTCCTGAAAGGAGTAGTCTTGCCTATTCTGTTCCTTTCTGCACGTGAAGGAATGATTTGAGGCGTGGAAAACCTCTGGGCTGTCTTTGAAATAAAATTCAATTCGTGGAAGTTCACTGGGGGTTCAAGCTGTAACTTCATCTTTCCTACTTCTGAGCCAGGGGCCAGTGAGTTACTCATTTAGCCTGCAGGGGAACTGGTTTCCTCAGTTGCAAAAGTTGCCAGCAGCTTTTCTTGTTCAAAGGTCCTTTGAGGGCCTGACCAGATCACCTTACCAGCACCTGCCATGGTGCACTGAACCAGTGACGCCTCCATTCCCTGTTTGTGGGGTGCACACACCTGGACATCAAAGGCACCTTTTCCAAAGCAGAAGGGACCACTGAGACTAGTTTAATAACTGTGACATCCTAGAGAAGACAGTGCCCTGCTTCCTTCTCAGCGCCACACCCCGGGCAGCTTACCATGTCACGTCCCGCGCGACTCTGACCCTTCTTGGTGCTTTGTAAGGCTGTTCTTGGATTTGCAAAAGTTTGGAATGTCCCAGCCTGTGTATTGGCAGGTGCAGTCAGATAAGGCCTGTCCTCTAGGTCCAGTTCTCAGAGTGTGACCGTGTCCCACCTCCCGCAGTCTGTGTGGCTTTGTGCTGGTAGTATCGCTGTTTAAAACAACACAGTTCTGATCTGTCTGAAGTTCACCAAGGGGAGGAAGTGGTGCTGTTGGCCGGGAGTTCAATGTGACGAGCTGACACTGTTGGTCCACTAAGCCGTGTTTGAGCAGGAATGTGTGAGCGAAAGCGAGATACAGGGCATAGGCGAGTACTGATCAGGTGTCCGTGGGAGGAACCCTCTCTTGGCCGCAGTTGTTAATGCGGGCTGTGCAGTGATGGTAAGAGCCAGGAGAACCGGTCGTGCCTGGGGAGCTCAGGGGTGTGACAAGCCTTGGAGAAGAGAGTCTGAGTCCCCTGGCTGTCCCTTGTGGGTGACAGGGACCCATCGCCTGCTACCTCCCAGAGACGTGGGTCCCCAAAGCTAACGGACAGCTAGCCAACCCGCCGGCCGCTGCCCGTGTTCCTGCTCCTCGGGAGCTCGGTGAGCGATGTGACGCGTGGCTCTGGGCTGACACCCTCTCCCCCACTCTGAATGCTGCACATCTCCGCTCAAGTCTAGCCACAGCCTGCTTGACTTCCTTGGAACCGTGGTTGGCCTTCAACTAGTTGTTTCCTGGCGAGGCGGGAGCAGAAACGGCCACAAGGTGGCGCCACAGTACAGCGAATGGCTGCCCGCCAGCCTGCCGGAGGCCTGGACGCCCTGCGGAGCTGGCAGGGCGTGTGGCACCGAGAGGGCCCTTGGTCCTGTCCCCGGGGACGAGTCACGTTCTGAGATGTCCAGCTGGCCTCTTCCAGAGGAGCGTTCGTGCAGTAAGAGAGGCATGAAGAGCTCGTGGATCTGCTGTTTTCGTTTTGTCTTTTCATGGAAACGTAGGGAGGCATGCCCAGGACCTGGAAAACCTGATTGAATGCTGATAGTAAAAACCGCAGCAAGAAGAGTGGACTTGGGACATAAATTTATTAAAACATGTAAAGAATCACACAGAGCCTCCAAGTGAACCAGCATGGCTTTTACACAGATGTTGGTTGTGACTCAGGTCAATAGAGTCTTGTTGAATTTTTTTTTTTTAATTTTCCTCATCATTAACTCTTTTTACACCTGTTTGTTCACAGGTGCGTTGAGACTTCCCTGTCTCTTCTCTTAAGATTTATTTCCTTTACTTGAAAGTGAGAGCTCCAGAATGAGTGGTACAGACAGGTTTTCTGTCTGCTGGTTCACTCCCCAGATGGCTGCAACAGCTGACA